GCAGAGTAAAGTGAAAAGAATGAAGGAAGTTGAAAAATTGTTTGGGTTCGGGTTGGGTAAAAACAGCAGCAAATGGAGGGTAACAATTGCATGGGTTTCGGTGGCAGTCTTAAAGGGTTCTCGAGAACCCCAAAGCCTTAACCTTGCCGGGTGACTAATGGGTTAAGGCTTCGTCGTACATTCGAATTCAAGCAGCATCCGCGTAAACTTCTCGTTAGGCGGGAGCCCAATTGACATTGAATTTAATTCCGCATGAAGTGTTTTGGCATAGCGTGACATTTGAATTGGTAATTCCTGCGCCCGAGAGATGCCACCGCGAGATGGGTGGCAGCAGCCCCCCCAACCCCCTTTCTTTGCCCCTTTTCGGCATATCTCCGCCTGCCCACACCACAGAGCGGAAATTGCCTTTTTTGCGCGACTTCCGCTTTTGTGCTAGCCCCTTTCCCGGATTTTTCCCGCCCAGCTTCCAGCGATACTTCAGTAAAAGACAGCTTACCATTGCCTCTTCATGGAGTTGCACTCTGGAAAAAATCCCTTCAAGTATGCGTAATTTTTACATAAATATACATAATTCAATATACAATAAAAATCCCTGACTCTGAATAAATTTATATCAAACTGATCTAAATACAAATATTTTGAATCATCTTTATAAAATAATCAATGTCAAAAAATCAAATTCCTTTTAATCTAAATATTTTTAATCTAAATATTATGTTGTACAATATTTAAAATTATATATACCAATGATCTTTTAAATTAAATTATTTCCAAAAAATTAAAACATTACAGAGAAATAATGGAAACGTTTTTATAAAAGTTTATAATAATGCAAGAAATTTGCATAATGCAATCAATGCAATAATTTGATACACAAACCTGAAAAAAACTCCCTAAACATAAAAGGTCACTCAACTAATTTTTCTTTCTAATAAAATTTTATATACATTTTTTTTTTTGAGTGTAATCCTGTTTCTTCAGCGTGCTCCTGTGCCACTTCCTAGACTCAGCGACACTTGGCATGGCACGCATAAAGCTGTCAATGTCAATGTAACGTGTTAATTTCAAAGTGGTTTAGTTTGTTGACGCAGCCTGTTAGGTAGTGGAAAAATAAGCAGCACAGGGTGATGGAAATGGTGATGGAACAGGAACAGGACCCCGACAAGGGCAACCCATTCGGGAAAAGAGCTACTTCTTCCATCATCTGGGGCGTAAAATGTTGAGGCACATGTGGTTTTTATGCCACTCATGAGCTCTGTTGGGAGTTGCTCAACTGCCTTTATCCTTTCTGCTCACTGCCTGCTTCTGCTGCTGATGATTTCTATCATGGCATTTGATTGATTGAAACTTTTGCCCGAGCCGGGGTTTAAGGGGCTTGAGAAGTGGTGAAGGCCCTGGGAGGAAAGCTGCTTAGGGAGCTGAAGTTTGCTGGTTGTGGCATTTAGTTTATTGAGGCATTTTGCAAGCTGTCGGCCAAGTATTGGCAAAATATTTGCATTTTAAAGTGATTAATTATGGGGGAAACGAAACTTTTAGCAAGATGGAGAACGATCTGCGTCGAGTACAGTTACGTCAAAAGTCGCTTACCAATGGCAAAAGTTGAAATGAAACAAATTCTTAACTAAAAGACCAATCCAATATCTTATTGTTTTTGCCAAAGGATTCGGATCCTCAAATCCAATAAGCCAAGGTAAGCCACCAGAAAATCTTGTGGCTATGTTGGGAAAAGAATAAAGTAGGCCTACTGTCACGCCGCTAAGTACAGTCAGGCCCAGTTACATGGGTCGATAAGTACCCCGCCAAGTCTGCGCCTGAATGAAGCAATTCCAATGAGTTGCAGCCTTCCGATTTGCGGATTCTCGCCCAAGCCCGAACATAAAAGGATTTCTGCCTGCCAAATTCAGCAGGCGAATGCAAATCCCATTCACACTTGGGCCACGAGAAACCGAAAATCAACAAAAGTCGGGCCCACATTAGCAGCTTGTAAAAACTGTGAATGCTCCAAGCAGAGGGGCGTACTTGTAGTCCTGTTTATGCGCCAACGCCTCCTGTTACTCCTGTTTATCCTTCCCTCTCCCAAAGAACCCCTAAAAGCACCTCCTTCCTTCCACACGCCCAAGCTCATTACAAGGCTCAGCACCGCCAAATGCCAACTGTCATGTGGTTAAGGGTGAGCCCCGAGCTCAGGAGTCCCAGAAACAGTACCAGGACCCAGGACCCAGTACCCATTACCACAACAACAGGAACTAAGGGGGAAAAGCCGGGGCTGTGAGCCTGGGAAATGGGGAAAATCTCCAGCTTCGGTTCGAGCCTCAAAATTTTTGGCAGCAAATAAAATTTGCTTGTGTTTTCAAGGGATTTTCGTTGACAAAAGGCGTTCGTGGCAGGGACGAATGGCAGCATATTGTGTTCGGCCAGGCACGCAAATGAATGTGCAATGCTACACAGAAAAAAAAAGTTTAATAATAATAAATAATAAACAATAAATAATAAAATAAATTATAAACAAAGCATAATATTTTTTTTAATTTAATATCAAATTAAAAATCTAAACTAATTTTCATAACTTACAAAGTACTAAAACTATTGTTTAATGTTCTTAAAAAACATTTTCGGATAAAAATACCATATTAGAATGATTATTATTATTTTACTGAAAAGTTTTTATTTCATCCGTGGCTTAATAAAAGCATTAAAAAGTTAATTCCCTAATGAGTGATAGTGGTTTTCCCTCAGTGCCGCAAAACAGGAAACGGAAATGAGAGTGGCAGGAAGTGGGGGCCCTTTGCCCCAACCTACTACGCACTCAAAAATCCAAATGCACGAGACTTTCATTGTCGCACGACGGAGCTCATAAACTTGTTAACTGAAATTGCCGTTTTGGTGTCGGTGCTGGTATTTGGGCATGTCTTCTGGTTTCTGTGTTTTCTGTACCGATTGTTCATCATTTTGTCAGCCAGCATCTGGCATTGACATGCTTAAACGTGCTCCATAACACCAATTCTGGTGTTGTTTCGAAAAACAAAAGCCAATTATGTGGCCTGGAACGCAGACAACCAACTACTGACCTGCTGGCCAACAGCAAAAACCCAGTAAGCCAGAAAGCCATGCTACAGAAAGCCTGAAAATAGCATACTTAGGGGGGCCAGCAAATAGCTGGCATTTCTGGCTTTATCTCAAAACTTCACACTATGACGGGCAAATTTCTCAGATTTCCTGGCGGTTTTATGGCCTTGAGCGGGGTGTAAGATATATATATATATATATATGTGTGTGGGCCAACTATAACCATCAACGTGAAATTGTTCGCACTTGAACCAAAAGAAAATCCAACACGAATTCCTGATCTTTTGATTCGAAGACACGAAAATTTGATTTGTGACAAGAGTGACAATAATCCTGGCCCCATTTTGACCCCATATTCTAGTTGACCGAAAAACGCGTACATATACGTATACGTATTTATTCTGCATGCCAGCCACATGTCGTATGCGCAATAAAAATAACTGTCTAACCGCATAACCGACTAGCCCGAGGAAACTGAAAGTCCACGAGAATGTTTCGTGCACTTGAAGCAATTTGTCTTGCCAGCTACGTGACTTATTCCACTAGTCGAGTACTCCATCAAAACCACGGATATATAGCATAGAAATATGTTCACCGGATGCCTATGTTATTCCCATGCCCGTCGTTTTACTACCTTTCGCATTCGCTATGAGGCACGAGGTCAGCACTTTCGCTGGCGGGACCGAAAATCCTTGCTACTGCCGGATGTTGAACTGATTGCACAACATGTTGCACCAGTGCGGCACCCATTTCCGTTCCATTCCATTTCGTTTCGTCGCTAAGCGCCGCTCATTAGGTTATGAAAGCGCAGATAAAGTAACGAAAAAAGGATCACTAAGAAAAACATTTTTATGAAATTCAAAAGTTCGTTAAAAAGAATTTAAATAAGCAATAGCATATTGTGGTTTAGAAAATTAACAGCTATTTTAAAGTTTAATAATTATTTCAGTTGTCTCTAAACCCCTGAAATATATTTAATATAGTTATTAACAAAAAAAGGAAAAGCTACTTTCTAAAACTCTGGTTATTTGAAAAAAAGAGATTTTATTTAAAACACAAAAAAAAAATCAATCCGAATAGTAATGGAAATTATTGAAAAAATGGTCTTGCCTTAATAAGGGAAAATACTAATTTTTCGCTCAGTGAAACCAGTTACAGCCACCGGATTATCAACAACTATCTCAGTGTCAAGTGCCAAGAGCTTAAAGGACCCAGCCAAAAGAATTTTAAAATCAACTGAAAGATACACTTGAAGCGGGCTTAGACCGCAAACAGCCACGTGAACAAAATCCCACACAGTACAAAAAGTGCCAAGAAAAGGGCAGCGGGAAAAGAAAGCAAGAAAGACAGTAAGAGAAAGGCTTAGGTAAACACACTCAGGAGATAACGCCCCCATTGTGGAAAGCAAATATGTAGCAACCAAAGTTGAAAGGGGCGTGGGCGACTTAAACACACTCAAGACACTGCGGTGCATTTGTCTTAATTTGTGACAAATGCAAGACAGGGCAAACCAGCTGCCAACACTATGAAAAATGCCAAGAAAATGGCAATGGAAAAAAACACATATACTTTGTAAGCCACTTTAAAACCTTTTTTCAGAACCTTTTAGTGCTATATTTTATAGTTAAAGATTTTTAAATTTAGATTTTTAAAATCATTTTTTAAAGAATGCTGTTTATAGTCATTTTATTTTACAATACCATTTTTTATATACTTACTATATGGTAAACAAAAATACTTTATTTTATCGAACAGTGTATACCAAAGAATACCAGTACTTATTCCAAAGTTACAAGACTTTTCACCCTCTAAAAAAACAGACATTGCTTAGCCTAAGACAAACCCCAACAAAAATGTAAAAACCTTAAAACGCCCACCGTTGAAAACAAAGACACATCCATTAGCAAGATATAAAGGGCATGCGCTACGTCTCGCAACTTGCTTAGAACCTATTGTCAAAGTATTACAGGAAAACTGAAGAGAAAATCTAAATTTTTGTGTTGAAAAATTGTTATAAATAAAATAAAATTGGGAGCTGTGTTGCTATCCCTGGGGTTACCAATGGATGCCGGGCACAGAAAGGTGATAGTCGTAGAATCGAAAAGCAACTACGACAAGCTCATCGAGGATGCGGGGGCCAACAAATACGTACTCGTCGAGTTCTATGCCACCTGGTGTGGACCTTGCGCGATGATTGGTCCCCGTTTAGAGCAACTGGCAACGGAATACTCCGGACGGATGTTAGTCCTCAAGATCGACGTGGACCAGAACGAAGATCTGGCAGTCCAGTACGAGGTCAGCAGCATGCCCACGTTCCTGATCATCAAGAACCGGGTAACACTCATCCAATTCGTGGGCAGCAATGTCGATAGAGTGGTCACCACGGTGGAGAAATTTGTGGGCAAAGTTGAAGAATCTAAGGAGAAAAAACCAAACCATGGAGCTGCCGCATCATCTCCTGAGACCAAACTGTAAGGATTTCGGAAAATATATCTTTCGGGTATTTTTAAGCGGTCTGTAATACAAATTAAAGTGTGTGGAAAAATGTTAGTACGTGTTGTGAGATAATATAATAAAAGATTTGGAGTCAAACTCTTAAAAGTCGAATCCTTAGTCGATAGAACCCATTTTCATTATATTTGAAAGCTTCAACAGAATTTGTTTGGTGATTTTACTTGATGTCGTTTTCCTTGGAATTCCTATACAAAAATAGAGTACCCACCCCCAACACATACTCACATCATAATGTTTTGTGTAAAATTTGTAAAGAAACCTGATTATTTTTGATGTAGCTGCCGTCAGTCATGTGTCAATGGGATCATTATATTAATGTACATCAAGCTAATTAAATTTTCATTATAAATATTTTTATTAAAAACCCAAGCCGAGTGCGTGGTATTAACCAGGGGTTACCCTGCCACTTAAAGTGGCGCCGTTAACGAGATTCCCAATTAAGTAGATCCCAGCCTGGCTATCTAAAGCAATGCACACTTCAAGTCCCGCACCCACCTCGTTGAGAACAAAGAACCTTTTGTTGCTCAGCGTCCCCATCCAGATGCAATCGGGGATCTACTTTATAGGGAGGCGGCATTGTCCTAAGCCATTGTTAGTGCCCGTAAGCTGGCCATATGTGCGACTCTCGCCTGTCGCTGGCATTATTTCAATTAGATTAATTAAGCCCGGCCCGCACGGCTTTGATGCCTGATGTGTGTGTATGTGGACAAAGTGAACTATTTTTAGCCAGTTATGCTAGCAAAGTATTTGAAAACAAAAAGAGTCACTCGGTAATCGGATTTAAAATAGGGGGTATGAAATGTCAACTGACAAAAGAAAATATTTCGCCAACTTTTGTTCGGGCCAATAAACTTATTAAATTTGCAAACATGTCTATAAATAAGCAATAAAATCATAGAACATGAATTCTAATTGCCTAAACTAATTGCTCTTTCATTTCGTAATTATATTTCTTACTCATTTCCAACATACATATAAAGGCCAGCAAACAATTAACACAGAAAGTTGCCTAATAGCCGAAACATTGCAATTAAAAACATCATAAATTCAATTTAACAACTTTCAAATACGATAGCTTTTCCTTTCTAAATTATGCTGACAAAGAGTTGTACTTTTTAACGATTTTAGATATCAATACCATATTTATTGGGGAACATTTTCCAATTGTCACCACTGCAAACCGGAAATAGAGCAGCCCCATCTGGCGGCCACAACTTTAAATGCGAATCAGCAACAGGGCCGGAAAGAGAGAGACAGAGAGAGAGAGTGAGAATGGGAGCGAGGGGGACGGCTTATATGTCCCCAGGGCCTGACAGCTGTAAACTGACACTTTGTTTTACTCAACCTTCAGCTGAGTGCAATCCTCTATTTTCATTCCTTTTAACATTCTTAAGGACCTTATTGAAAACTTATTTGCTTTGCCGTATTCTTTTCGACGTCATTCCTGTTTTTTTTTGTGCGCACTTGCTTTTGTTTTCGTTATACCGTAAAATCGAAAAGTTTTCTGGCGTTTAATATGAGCAAAGGATGCTGGAGAGAGAAAAAGAGACAGAAAATCATGGGAGCAAGGGAGAGGGGCATAGCGATAATAGAAAGCGACAGCATGATGCTAGCTTGACTTTCTTCATCCGGAGACATTTGCATTTTTATTAAAATGAGAAATTGCAGCAGTTGCAGTTGACTGAAATGCTGTCTTCCTCGACCAGGCGCCACAAGGATGGACAAAGGGCCGTGCCCCGGGTAGGGGTTAAGCTGGTGCAATAGGGTTAAAGCGGTGTTGAGAATGGGGTGGCCCTTTAAGGAGGGACATGAACTGTTAAACAACCGCAATATAACATTTTATTTGATAGTCTAACAAGTAAAAACCATTAGGGTTGGCGTTTTCTTGTTTTCCGATTCTACTAAAATAGAAACTCCTATGGGTTTAACAAGATTAAACTTTTATGACCGAGTATTTCCATAAATCTTATAACCCATAGTCTTACCCGTCCAACAGCCTTACATTTTTGCAACGGAAGTCAAAAGATGATTATTTCAAAAGTTCTGATCCTTATCTTGAGGCCATTACTGTTTTTATACACTTCGAAACTTTTTTCCCGGGTTCTTAACTATGACATTTTAATGATACCTATTAGCAGTATTATTACCAATAATGGCAGAATTCTTAAAACCACCAAACAACAATGAGAACATTAACTGATGAGTAATCACACCAATAACGTAAATAGTAATACTTTGAGGCAAGGTGCTCTTAAACAATGGAAGAAAGTTCGGAACCATATGCTCAGGGGTAAAATATTAAAAGGGGCAGAGAAGTGTGGGCTATAAATTTGGAACTCGACCAATGCCGAGTCTACGGCTAGCTGCGTTGTTGAAATTTATATGCCAGGCCCTGCCTTCACCATGCCCCCCTTCCCACCACCCCCTTGGCATCTCTTTTGTTATGCAAGTTAATCCTTTTTATAGCTATTGTTCAGCGCATCAACACGCCCCCCGTTGAAGAGCACACGCAGCCGCCCACGCCCTGTGCATTTGTTTCATGGGGGGTGGTGAAAATGTGAAAAATGGAATGGGAAAATGGGGGTCTAGGGGGTTCGCAGCAGCTGTGGCACATGTCAGTGCATTTTTCAACGGCTCCAAGAGGCGACACTGCCAAGCCAACATATTAGCTGCCACACATGCCGCACAGTGGGTTAAGGAAAAACCGAGAGGGGGTTGGAAGGATAGTGGCAATACCATTGAGCAAGCACTGGGAAATAAAATCCTACCTCAAAAAACCCGAAGAAAAGATGGTCGTGTGGAATCCTAGAAACTATTTATTAAATGTATGTTATTATTATGATGTAATGTATGCTGTAATATATCTACAGCTTGACTTATCAACGCCAAGTTCTAACGATAGATCTCGAAAGTTTTGATGTTTTAGATTTTCTTTAGAAAAACCAAAAATCTTTGTCCACTTGTCCCAAATTATCCCAAATTAGATAAAAGTATTTTGTTAATTTAATTAGATTGCTCTTTTTATACCATAAAAATAATATTTGTACTAAGAAGCTGCGATTTAATGCATCAAATGAAATTACAATTAAATACCGTTTGCAATGTATTTAAAGCCATTGAAAAATTTGAAAAAATTCTTTCTCAGTGTGGGATTGGACTCCGGCCGGAGCTGATGCATGTGCAGCTACATCTACTGCTGATATCCAGAGCTAAAATCTGGCGCATGTTGCGGCCGCAGCAAGTGTTTGTGTGGCATGCCGCAAATTCATTATTATTTCCAACTTCCCACTCCCCCAGCTGCATATAAACACTTTCCCCTATGAAGTGGCAGCGGCTGCTTGGGAAAAACTAGGGAAAACAATGGAGAAAAACTCGCCGCTGGATAAAAAGACCTTAAAGACTTTCAACAAGTAGCAGGACCCGTGGCGGCCACTTGAAATCAAGTTCCCTCTAGTTGTTATCCATTTCAGGGGACTTACATGGGATCTTGAGCAGTTTGCTAGCTCAACTTTGCAGCAGTTGAGGGAATGAAGTCAAGCACAGGTCAATTTACTATTTCTAATGTTTTGTAAGCTCCAATACAATTTGAGTAAATTATTTTTCTGGTCATGTTCTTATAAGCAAATCGGAAAATAATAATTAATGATATTTTAAAATTATATTTCCTATAAATCCTGATTAGTATCTGGATAAATCTCTAGCCTTGGTATTTGGTTAAAAATGGTTCAAACCTCTTCTGCGATTTTTTTTAACGGATTTTAAACACAATATTTAAATGTTGATATAAATTTGGAATTTGATCATAATCTAAAACCAAAAAATCCAACAAATCCAAACACTCTCCAAAACTTCTTAAAGATGCCAACTGTATTTTTTGGGGTCTAATGGACAAGGGTTTTGGCCCAATTCGACAACGTTAAAAGAGTCTTAGCACATATTTCAAACCGGGTACAACCATTCGGCCAGATGAGTGGAAATCGGTTGAATGTTTGACTTCGTTTTCTTGCCCCTGGCTTTGTTTCCTTCCTCATCGCTGCTGCACTGGCTGCAATCGCTCATGCTGTTCCCACGCCGGGGGATTTGGGCGAATGCACCAGCGGGCAAACGCTCCATAGACCTCAATTCTTCTTCGGTAAGGACTCCAACACCAGCTCGCATCCTGCGAGCCTGGGCAGAAGCCCGATATTGAGCCATAGCTCGAGCCTGAAGATGACGATTACGAAAACGTGGCCGGGGAGGATTCTCGCCCTCGTCCGTCATAAATGTCGAAATCCTGCGAGTTTGGAGGTCCCTGTTTGAGCGCCGGAAACGCACAGGAGCGCGAGTACCGTTGAAGACCGGGACAGGATACTCCATATCCGAGGATGATGATGAGGTTAATCTTGGTGATGGTGTTGGTGGTGTTGACGAAGCCGATCGACGAGGTCTCGAATTCGTAGTGGCTTCCATCGATCGCAGTGTATTAAGCCAACGTGTAAACCTAGGGAAGCCGGCAGCAAGGACTTCACGATAGTCGGAATCTTCGGATTCTGAAGCCTGGCTGCCTTCCACCGAGGAAATCGACACCGAAGGCGACATCGTATCCGATTGACTGGCCTGAAGATTTGGATTGGGACTCACGGGCGCAGGAGCGGAAGATTGTGACTGTTCCTCCTCCTCCTCAAATACATCCGCTTCGGAAGAGGACATTTTAAAGTCAAGTTAAAAATGATAAACCAAGTTTTGCCAAGTGAATCGAAAAGGTTCTAAAAAGGTTGTTAGCCGATGTTTGTAAATCTATTTGACAGTCAATATTGACTTGTATTTCAGAGCACCCTAGATATGGATCGATAAAACTATCTTACAAATATATGTAGTAGCGAGATTGTCCGTTGAAAATTAGAATACCTAATACCTTTTTTTCCTCAGTCAAGTGGTTTTTGCTTTTCAAATCAAGATTATTCAAAATGTAAAAAATGTCTTGTAAATTTATCAAAAGTCCTTATTTAACTGTATTTTGCTATGCTTTTTGAAATGTTTTAACGGGTTATTTTATTATTTTGTCCTCCCAGTTGTTTTCAAATTAAAGTTTCATTCACCATGCATATAAGACCCGAAAATTATGATACAAACTACATTCAGGATGAACATAAGGATGAGAGCTCAGAATATGACTTCACAGTAGTGGATATGTATTTGCTGTTAGAAAGTTTGGAGAGCTTCTTATCAATAATGCCGACCATATTGGGTTTCATCCTATCTTGGATACTTTGCAAGCATATGCCAACCCTGTCCACCAGACGATTTCTGATGGAATTTATTATCATTGGATTACCAACTGTGATTTTTGCCACCGTGGGCAGCGATTATAGTTATATTTATTGTACTATAATATCCATAGCAATTATGTGTCACCTTTATAGAACCAGCTGTCCTTCAAAAACCCATATATATGAGATTGGCAAACGTCCTCTGGTATTTTCTCTAATCAGAGCCACTGCCTACAATGGAACCAGTGTGGCGATCCTAGCCGTGGACTTTAGAAGCTTTCCAGATGAGTTTACCAAGAGTGTATTTTTCGGAACTTCTGCTATGGACATGGGCATTGGATTGTTTGTGGTGATCATGGGGTTGGTCTCTCGTCGTGCCAGGAATTTTTCGGATCTAAGAATGCTGCCCCAATCAGTAGTTCCTTTGATGATCCTGGGAGTGGCCCGCAACTTATTTTTTTATCTCAGTGGAAACGTACAAGAAGAATCTGAGTATGGCCGTGATTTAAATGCTTTCTTTATTCTGGGATTCACCAAACTGCTGGGCAGTGTATATAGCTTACTAGCTAAGTCGGATAAACAGCTGCTGGGACTTTCTTTAGGATTGCTTTCCCTCCATGAACTAGTACTCCAGTTGGGTATTTCCGATTTGGTAATGGAGTATGAGGAAAAGAGATTGGGATTTATCAGTGCCAATCGGGAAGGTTTGAGTTCCCTTAATGGCTGTGCAGCGCTCTATATGCTGAGTATGTGCTTCGCCAAGTGGTATATTACCAACGATCACTTAAGTTATAGCCAGCTATGCAGCAAGTTGAAAAATATGCTAAGAATTTCTCTTATCAGCTGGGTAATAGCTCTACTAACTATTCCTTTATGGGACATTTGCCGTGTAACATTCAATTTTGGCTACGTTATCTGGGTGTTCGCTATTAGCGTGAGCCTAGTACTTATTTATGCTTTTGTTTTTGAATTGCTTCTTTCAAAATCAACTGCTAAAAAGAGCTTTCTGCTTTTGGAGCTTAGAAAAGATACTGATGAAAAACTGGAAACCTTACCAACTTATGTCAAGAGCCTCAATATGAATGGACTAACCCACTTTATAGTGTCCAACTTACTAACTGGTTTGGTCAAATTTTTCCTAAATCCCGCCAAAAGAAATGGTGTAGAATGTGTTTTAATAGTGTCTGCATATATGTTTATTAACGCCTTAGTGGTCTTCACAATGCTTAAGTATCAAATTCGGATGTCCAAATTGGTCAAATCCTAATATGTTCTAAAATAAATATGATTCCTCGATTTCTAGGGATTTTATTAGGTATCTGGAAAATAAATGGCAACGTATCTCTATAATAATTTTCAAAACCTAAGTCTGTGTATTATCTAAATATATATTTTTTTGCTTTCCAAATATGAAATTTGAAATATATTTCAGAAAACTAATTAGCTCCAAGTACTGAAATTCCCCTTTCCCCAACAGAAATTCAAATGAATTGAAAAATATAGAGAATACTCGTTTACGGATCTCCATCCTTTCCGCTTTCTGTGAGTGACTGCCCTCTGGCTTTTCAAGTTAAGTGGATTGTGTAAAATTGATGAAACTTCTGTTGGCTTTTTCCCCTATTCCCCACTCTATTTCCCCCCAACGTTTGTTTGTTTGGCCATCCGCTGCCTGTCGGTTGCCACTTGCAATTTCTTGTTCTCGCACTTGACAAATGCACAAATGAAAAATCAAATAGTTCGTCGAGCACATTGCATCTGTTGGATTAGCAGACAGCTTCCACAGATGGAAAATTCGAATGGAGAGGGCATAATCGTGGCTCCTATATCAATAAACCGGCGATTTGTCAGTTGAGCATGGCTTATCCCTCATTCTCGGACAAACAAATTACTGGCCGCTTTTAAACTCATTAATATTTAATGCATTTAGACAGCCCCACAGATGTGACCGCCAGTAAAGGACATCAAATTCCGGCTCAACCGCAAGTTCAGGAACTTGAATGGGCCTTTTTTGACAAATACATACTTGTTTTCCTTGGTCAGTGGTAAATTTATTTAATGGATAGACAGTCGTTGACAATTTAAGTGGGGTATTTACTTTGTTTAAGCCGAATGATTTGGTTTTTAAGGTTTTTAAAACAATGCAAAAAAAGCTTTTGTTTTGATAATCAATTTAATAATATTTTACCTATAGAAATTTACCAATCTTATGAGTCATCAAAAAAGTAAACTAAATATACTTTGTTTTTGACAAAATCCAGTGCAAGCTACTAAAATGTCACCACCTAATCTCCTTTTTTAAATCTATTTTTCATCTATAGCTATAATTTTATGAATGAGCTATTATATTGTAAAGTCTGGAAATAAAACTCAAAGAATTGCAAGCCTTTGAAGACTGAAAAGCTTTTAGTATCTGCTCCAAATGGAAAATACAGATAATCGAAATACAAGCACATCTTGTATTCTGACCTCTTTCGACAACTTCAAAGTTTTTCTTGGCCGCTATCTGCCATTTGACAATTTAGAAATATATTTTATGCACATTACCACAAAGGTCGCAGCACATTTATCACATTTGTCCTGCTCTGTTTTTGTTTGCTTGTGTATTTTTTTTGTATTTTTCGTTACCATTCCCCCTGGGGGATGCTGTGCTTTTATCTTCGCTTCCAGTTGGCTTTGCTCCACTCACCTACGCTGGCTGTCTCTTTATAGTCGGCTACGCAATTCAATTTATTTGGTATTTCTTATTTATTTTACTTTTTTTGAACTTTTTTCAACATTTTCCCCGAACGTTTTCCTCTGTTTTTTTGGGCTCTTGGGCTCGCTTCGTTCGCTTTGGCACTGACAATTGAAAAACCGCAGCCAGGCGGGCAAACAAACCAACTGACAAACAAACAAACAAACAAGCGGGCAAACAAACGTTTATAAACGCGGCTATTCCCATTGTACAACGGGGCGTATGAGTTACGAGTTATGTGCAATGCGCAGTTGGGCTGTCTGCGTTTTTTGTGTGGCTGCCACAAAAACTTCTTGGTTTGTCTTCGTTCCATCCTCAATTCGGATTTCCTTGGTTTCTCGGTTTGTTTGTTTGCTCATTTAAATTGTTTAATTTGCATTAAGTGACAGGCAGCAGTTATTTTCTTGGGATAAATTACTTGGGTCCTTGGTGAACATGTGGCATCAAAGGAATGAAGCTCATATTAAATATATTCAGCAAGTGGGCCCCCTCTTGTTACATAAAACCAACGAGTTTAAAAACTAAAAGAAAACTGTGTGCAAGACTTTAAACCACAAATGCCATAACCCCAAAATAAAAACTTGTAAAACTTAATAGAAATCAATATAGACCACAATTAGAATGCCGAGAAAAAACATCCAGAAAATAAAAATGTTCGAAAACAGATGTGAACATTTTTTTAAAAGTATGTGAAGTGCAAATAAAATGTGTGCAATAAATCATTGCTAAAATGTCAGAATAAATACGTACAAATGTCGAAGAAATATTCGCGGAATGCAGAAACGAGAATTGCCGAACTGGAAACTGAATGAAATATCCAATAAATTTGTTTTTATATAAATAAAATCCTTTTTTATTCCTTTTTTAATGCAGCTACAAAATAAAGCTTAATGCAAAGTTAGACGCGGGAAGTTGAGTAATTAAAATCCGATAAAATGTCTGGTAATGATGTTTCGGTTACTGAAACAGCACAAAGCGATCAGGTATGTAATGGTTTTTAACAACCTTTAAGCCCCTCCATAATATTAACAATAACCAAAACAAAAAACCCGAGTTACTCCAAACAAATCCGCACAATTCACACATTATTTACACGAAATATATAGCATGCTTTTAAAGCTTTTACAACTATGAATATTGCAAGGCTATGAAACCCTTTGATCCTACGCAATTTAAGTATCAACTTTTATTTACATATTCAGTATTTGATTGCTGGCATGATATATATTTGCTATGATTTTTGCAGACCGATTTTTGGTTGCATTTTGATCCGGATATTTACCGAAAACCATTGTTTGTGCTGCATATTTCATATGTAGTTGCCCTTTTGAAGATGGGATGAGGGCATAATAAGTGGTTAGGTGATACCACATTCCCTTTCTGTTTGAATATTCATTTTTCCCACAGTCATTTTTATATGTGTGTGTGTGTTTTTTTATTTTTGCATAAATTATGGGCATATTTAAGGCAATTCTGGGCCTTATTCACGTAGCACTTAAAACATATTTATGCATTTGGTTATTTTGTAGAAATTTTATTGCCTACATTTAGGTGTTTGAAACACGTACACGCACACACCCAAATACAGATTGCTCTGCGGGTTTGTGTGTCAAAAATTATAATTTATTATGGCTACGCATTCTAATTTTGGTATTCTCATTGAAATGAAAATGTTTTTCGGGGCTAGCCAAAAGGAGTTGTATGTTTCCCATGGGTTAATACGAGAGGAAAATATTAAAGATGGTTTTCAGAACGGTTATTGAGTAGGCATTGGTGGAAAACTCCAACTACCTTTTTAAGAATTATGAAACTATTCGAATAAATATTTTATATACGCATAAATGTAAGGTAAAATTGAGAAACTTCAGACAAATATATCTTAATGCTTGGGTTATAAATGTTTCTTTAAAGATACAAAGACAAATTCCACGAACTTTAGACCCTCCTTTTATGCAACTCAATAACATCTCAGTTATGACAACACTTTGGCGCTGCCAGGCTCAATTAACATGATTCGTTACCATGTTACCAGAGTATCCTTCAGATAGGCTGCCAAAATCAGCAAACGCTGCCTACTTTTTGGCGCACTGATCAAGCACTAATCAAATAGGACCTCAAAGCAGCCAGCCCAGACTGCTCAGGGCAAATTGTTTGGTATTTACATATCATTTGTGTACATCCGAACCCCTTTCTCCGTGAAAGGGAACCGAAGGACTGCTCATTACGCCAGACGACATCGGAAGATTGTAGGGGGTCGGTTGTAGGGGACTGGGCGACTGGAGATATAGGGAGAAAGAAGCCGTGACACAGTTAAAGGGCGAGAGTGCAAAAATTTTGCTGGTGCCCTGCCAAGTGGGCTAACGATTTTGTGTCCGCTTTGTCTGTGTCTATGAGAAGCTACACGGGGAGGAAATACTGTGTTATACCAACCGAATTTCCACAAAAAGTGTATTACCATCGGCTATCTAAAGTACCCATATCACTAATCTTCGGGGTGTCACAAAAACCTTACTCAATTAAAGTAGGTTGGAAGTTCGAGTCCACTTCAATTAGATTTAAAAAAAATTCGAAATATTTTATTTCTTTCTTTTTTCTAAATTGGAATATTAAAATGAAAACTAAGTTCAACACTATATATACATTTTAAAAAGTCTAGAAGACACTTTAATATAAAAAACATTTTTTTTTTTCTATATTTCCACACTTTTTTTAATTTTTAAGTAAAAATAAGAAGAAAGCAAAATAAAACTATTTTTCATTTCATTAGGCTTTACAATCAAGTGACACTGACTGAAGGGGAGAAACTGCAATATAATGAGACACTTTTTAATTTGATAATATTCATTTTAAACGTATTTTTTCTCTCAGTGCCAGTGTGTTTGAGAGCGAGGCGGTCGACATTTGGTCGTTATTTGATCATCATTAGCGATACGAATCGGGTAGTTTCTGAATGTAAGTAAAGTGGGGTCGCCTGCATGTGGGCGCCTCTTCATTGTCCCCTTTGCCACCTCAAACCTTTCCCTTGCCCAATACCCCTATTTCCTACTCCTCGCTCCCCCCTCCCGCATCGCAGGGGTCAGGGGTCGCGCCTCGATTTGCTTGGCTGCACCGAAAAGTTGCAACAAAAGTTTCGTTCAGCCGTTCGGGGCGCTCTTTGTGTTGTGCTTGACTTGGTTGGCTCTTTGATTAAACCCAAAATCCGGCGGGAGTTGGCCAGGAGCCTCAGTTACGTAGTGCCCGAGTGTAATTAAATAATTGCGGTGAGCACCGCACTCGCCAAACCAAATCGAGCTAATGTATTTGGCGCAAAAATTCACTAGGTCCATTTTTCGTTCATCCAAATTCGTTTTATTTGGATTTTTTGGTTGGGTATTTCTTCTTTATTTTTTCTTTGGCCCGCACTGCCATAGTTTTTGGCTCGTTTTAAGTTTGATTTTGTTATTTACTTTAACTCGACTTTGGCGCAAATTTCATTTCATAACTTAGTTTCAGTGGTTTTTGCGTTGGGGGATTTAAGAATTCTTGTTGATCTAATTTGTTGAGGTGGAAATGTTGAGGGAAACTAAGTAGTTGGCGAAACTTTCTTTGCACTACTTTAATTTACTTATGCCAAACTCTCAATTGCCAAAGCACTTATCTGATTGCGAATATATCTTAAAGATTAAAGTTACCTTATGAAAATAAGTTATATTTTATAAATTGTGTTTTATGTTCTTCTGCACGTTTTTAATAACTCTGTTGAATTGTATGCCAATTTTTGTTTACTGGCTTTTAAGAACCATAGTTTGAATATTTTTAAGTAGCTTAGAAACACTATGTAAAATGTAAACGATTCTTAAGATATCTTACACTTTTAGAGGCCAAAATATTTTATTTTAACTAAATGTCATACTTATTATATTATAATAAAGGCCATTAATGCTGTTGATATTTTCTTTCTTTTTCTTTTTAAATTGGCTTTAAATTTATCAAACATATTCTCTCTTGTTACTGAGATCCATAATATTTTTTTTACCATCTTATGCATACAAATAACTCCTTTGTGGAAGCCTTAAGAATCGTATTTGAAGTCTTCTTATAAAACCTTTTAAGTTCTCCAACCAGTTCAGAGGTTGAAAAAGAAATCTGCCATGTTGTTTTGTATCCTTTGTGTTGTGTTCCGTATTGTAGTTAATGCTTACCCCTTTGTTGGCGCCTCAATTTGTGTTTGCCGTTGGATGTCTTTTTGCTTTGAGCCCAAGAACCACCAACAACCACCTACAACCACCCACAATTGCACACGAACAACCACCATGTACACCATATGGAGTATTCACACACAGAGACAGCGATTTAACAGGATGCTGTCCACAAACCAATTTTATGTGTGTTCCTTTTCTCCCCGCCGAAAAAAAACAACAAGTATCATCTGCCAGCCACTGCCAATGCAGCTGCACATCATCAATATTATCGCTTCCACAAGCAACAGCAGCAACAGCAGCAACATCAGCAGCAACAGCAGCAACATCAGCAACACCAGCAGCAACAACAAAGCTGCCTGCGACAGCAGCAAAGACAATTGCAGTGGGAACAGCAGCAACATCAGCAGCAGCAACACCAACAGCTGCAACATCAACTGACCAACAGCTCAAGCGAATTTGATGAGTTCCATTGGCCCAGCAAGCAGACGGGTGGCGACAATATGGGTGGCAAAATCTATATAACGCCCGCAGACATACCGCCGCCACCTCAGCCGCCCCATCAAAGTGGCAGCAACAGTCACAGCCACCACAATGGCAACAAAAGCAGGCAGCAACACCAACAGCAGCAGCAGCAACATCCGCACTCCCTACACTCCCACATCCACCCACATCCGCATCCACACCACCAGCATGGTCATCGCACACCGCCGCACCGCTGCAAATGCGAACATCCTTCCATCGAACTGATGGGCTACGAGGATTCAGTCATCGCCACCGCCACCGCCAGCAACACCGCCGCCAATGTGGGCGTGGCACTGGGAGGGAGCGGCGGCGTGGGCGTGGGCGGGGGCGTGGGGCGGCACCAGCATCCGCCCTACTACTACAAGGCGGCAGTGGGGCGGCGGACGAGCGCCAAGCTGCACGAGTCCATGCTGGGCGGCGGGAGCAGTCTGGAGGACGACGACGGGACCAGTGCCGGCAGCTTCGGGGAGGGCATGTCGCGGTTCAAGGTAAGACGGCGGATTTCAGAGATGACCAGGTTCTTGGAACACGAAAAAGCATGGCTAACTTATGGTCTTCTTGAGAAAACTGGTAATCTATGTATGAGTTGGAACTATCCTAATTGACTTAGGCTTAGAACTTCAGAATCTAATTTCTGTTTAGCCATAAAGGCTAGACTTTCATCTTGTCCAGTCCACACACAAATATACAAATGGTAAATTTATTAAATATATTTTTTACCATGAAATACTCGTATTGTTAACTTGATATTGAGAAATGGTATTTCTTTAACTTTATCCCCAAAATCCATAAACATGACTTTAGCTCTAGTTCCCCTCTATTTTTGTTAGGTATATTGTACAATTTATAACATCGAAGTATCATTTTTTAAACTTTAGAACATAGCAAAGAGATAAGGGGTGTTTTAGGATAAAACTGACATGGAGTTTTATCATCCTAAAGCGTTAAATCATTTTATATTTACAAATTTAAGGCATATATTATATCATTTACATAGCAATCTTTTCACCAAGTTAATGTGCATATAACTGAATGATCTTTTAATTCTGGCATTAGCATGTTAATAAATAATTTAGGAGGAGGAAAATAGGACACTTTGCTGCTGATAAATTATATATTTTATTTAGGCAACACATTTTAACCAAACCAAATTTGATTTAAATAGGTTTGGAATATATCCAAACTGACAACACTTCATGGAGCCAAGCAAACCACAGGCCTGAAACATCGCCTGCCGATTGGCCAACATTTGGCGATGTGCTTGGAGTCCTTGGGCGTTCAGTAATTAAATTGATTTGTCCATGAGTGCGAAAATGAGCCGCTGATTGACCACAATGGCCATTGTGATAACACAAGATGAATGGAGAGATGAGCAGCTAATATATCAATCGAAAATGTGGGTGGGTTTTGTGGTTTAGTGGGAGTTGAGAATGTCCTTTATCACTCTCTGTGGTTTTCCCTCAACAGGTGGCCAATGAAAGGCAGGACATGATTTTAGATTTCAGTAATGTGCACGTAACAAGAGAATAATAATCATTATACATTTTCTAATGAACTTGAGAGAGAAAAACTTTTACCTTTGATTAAATAATTATAATTTTTAGAAATTTTGGGTATTTACTTAATTTATTTTCCCGACAGATGGAAAGAAATAATAATTTAATTTTATTACTTATTTAATTTCTCCTTTATTTTCTTTATATATCCTTGCCTGGGATTGACTATTAATTAGTCCCTAAGTGGGATATACCTTTATTTATTTTTATTAGCTTTTACAAACTAGTTCCCCATTTCTCACACCTTAATCACTGAGTACCTAGAACTTAATTTCCACTAGACACAATGTAATTATGTCTAGCCCCCAGCTCATTTTACGCATGTAGCTAATTAATTAAACACGTTAAAATGAGAACACAATTAGCAACGTAACGAAAAGATGAGAAAAGGGGAACCCCCGGGGAGAAAACAGACCCAGGACAAAGCAAATTAATTAATTTCGAGGGGAAGTTTAATAAAAAGCCAAACGACTGAAGAGAAAAGAAGCCAAATATAAAAAACTCAGCCCCCAGGACAGACAAGAGGTTATCAATTTTTTGTGTTGTCCTGTTTAAGGAACTCAAATAGTTGTCAGGCCCCACACGTCGAGACGATTATGTCCTAACAGCAAAATGGCAAGATAAGAGGATAAACAAAAAACAAGTATACGACATGTGGTGCAACACGGGTGAAAAGCTCCATATATCTTGACTGTCGAAACTCCAACTAATTGCCGGAAGTCTAGCAAATGATTCCTGTTCCGCCGGAGGATAAAGCGAAAACTGTGCTCTCAAAAACCTTTCCATTTCATGTTTATTAAATGAATCGATGTCTGGCAAGTGGAGTGAGAGGTGTGTACAGGTAGCCGACTAATTGCGCCATATTGTGCAGCGAGTTCAATGGGAAATCCCAAAACAATCAAGCCAAAAAAAGTCTGAATGGACATTGATATGATTGGAGTTGGTCAAGCGTTAGACCAGTGAATAACATTTCTAGAAGTGAAAGAGGTGGTATGCTAGTATTTCCTCGTATTTGTGAAAGCTTAAATACTCTCTCAGGATTAGGATGTAAGGTTCAATGTATCAGTCATGTGTAATTATTGTTTATTATTTATTAATAACTAAATGTGATACTGTGTATATCAATCACCTATGTTTTAGTTATTATTAACTTAAAATTAGTTTAGTTAAGGTTAAACATTATATATATTTATTTTACATATGAATTATTATAATAAATTGAATTCTCCATACTATTGGTATTTATTTTATGTTACTTTATAATAAATTTAATAACCATAGATTTTCTTGTTTTTAGTCGAATTAGTATTAATAATTTTGTTATATGTGTTCTCTTAAACCTTTATTACCCTGTTATACCTAGGAAACAATAAAACTAATTAAAGGAGTTGCGATACGAAACCCCACTTTTAATTTGAATAAAATTGTGTTTTCTTTGTTCCCACAAACTCGAATCCCCATCGCAATGAAATCCAAGAGGAACCATAAATTGTGTGTGCATATGCCATGGTGAAACATATAAAATGCTGCAAAGTTGTAACTAACATGTCTTCGACGTTGCCAGTTGTGCCTCCATAGGGCTATATATTATCCAAGAGATTTGGGGAGTGGCTACGTGGTCAGTGGGGAATCCCCTACACGTGTCGTTGGTTTTTCGAGAAAGGAACATGTACAAAGGCTCTTTCCTCTGACTTCTGCCTTTTTGGGCTTCGATTTTTGCGAGGCATAGATAAATTGGCAACATTACAAGTATGCACTCTGTATATAAACCTAACTAATGCCAAAAGGTGCAGTCGAGCTGGGTTATAATAACTGGTTTTTCTAGAACTCTGGGGGTGTACTCAATAATAAGATGTTTATATTGGTGTGTTTAACAAGCAGTTTTTATTGTGTGGTTCAAGACCTCACAAAACTGGCGATACAAACTTGTTCTCTTTCGTACAGTAGCAAGTTTTCAGACACATGCAACTAATTTGAAATATAAAGGTTTTTTCGGTGGTACTTAAAAGAAATGTTTTTCTTATGCTCAAGGTGCAATTTTTAAGACCAATTAATTGCTAAGATTTATTCTCCAATTCCTTCTTTAAATATTTCTAAAAATAAGAAGGCAACTACCGGTCTGTATAACCTTGAGCTCGTAAAAACAAATCCCATTAAATAATCACAAAAAACTGTCACGCTCTGCCAAAAAAACCATTGACATGACTCGACAATAAAAAAATCCGAAAACAGAAATAAATAAAATCATAAAGCACCTAATGATAGATTTCAACAGCACAATTATCACTTCGAAGCCGAGCTAAATAAAAAGTGAGAAGAAAAAACAAAAGCATTTCATTTCTTTGTCTTTTTGGGGTGTGGACAACTTCAATTATTTAGTCGCGTAATGTAAAATTATGTAAAAGAAACAAATGGGCAAAACCCCCAAACAAGTCCATTAAATAAACTCGAAACGAAAAAAGCAAATTGTGGCTTTATTTAATTACGTCACGCCGCAATTGCTGGAGCCCCTGAGCCCCCTTTCCCCCCTTTTTTTTACCAACGATCCTACCTGCATATCTACCTATACTCAGTATACTGACCAGAGCATAAACCAGTTATCGACGACCCAGTCTGAAGCTGGTTAACAAAAAACTACTTTCATTTTCGCTCTCCACTTTTCTTACTCATTTGGTTGCCGTCCCTATATAACATATATACATAACTTTATCCCCAATCTCTTCGTACATCTCCTATGCATTTTGCTTTTGTTTTCAGCGATTTGAGTGAAACGCTTTGAGTGACTGGAGATGGAAAAGAAAGAGTCATTGCGCATGCGCGGCGTTACTTTCCATATAATATACAGTATATATTTACGTGTCTCGAGTCGCTGATTAGGCAGAAAGATTGTATCCAAATTGGCCAAAGTGCGCATTTCGTTCGAGCCTTATAATTTGGCTTGGCCAAGTTGCTCTTTTTTTGGTCAGCCCAGAAGGTGGCTGATTACAGAAATGTGAATGGAAAATGTGGAAGTGAAGTACGTACGAAAGTTTCCCTACTTGGAAAAAGGGTTAACGAACTCACTGGTTGCCATTTCGAAAGTGCATTCGCTTACTAAACATACTTTAATTACTTTGTTGCCAAATGTTTGGCCAACAAAACCGATAAATCTACGATTGTACCATGACTAAATAAAATAAAATAAAAACTTCATTAAATAAAAACTTTTACATAATTTGAATATTCAAAGAAGCTACATATATGGGTCTCAAACATACAAATATTTATTTAAAAAAAAATAGGTACTAATTTTTTAATAACTATTTACAACTTCAGCACTTGATTAATTATTTTGTATAGAACAACCTTTTCATTTTCTTGTACTAATAGTTAAAGAATTTTTCTTTAATCAGAACCTGATGCATACCAAGGAGAAGAAACGTCGGGTGCGGATAATCCTAAGCATTGTGACTGCGGTAATAGCGGTAGCTTTGTTGGCCACAGCCTTGGTGTTCATCCTTCGTACAGATGAAAGGGACAATTCCGACGACTCAGGTTCAAACTCCAATAATGCCATTGATCTGGAAGATGTGCTGAGCGGTCAACTATATGCTAAGCGCTTTAACGGCAGCTGGAGCAATGGAGACAGTGTGATTTACAAGGAGAATACGGTGAGTCAAACTTTTAGGAGTTACTAAATTAAGGAAAAACAATAAGAAACGTCATTGTAAAAGGCCTCGACTAATTTATCATAATTTAACTAGTTTTATTTGCAATTCGAGCTTGGGAACGTTCCGAGCTAATATTATTAATGCTAACCACTTTTTTTCCATGTTGCAGTCTATTATAGAGTACGATGCCAAGACGGGAGTAACTACCGTCCTGCTAGAAAATGCCCTTCACTATGTCCTGTATGAGAAGTCTGCCGATGGGCAGTTTCTTCTGCTGGCGAAGAACTACAGGAAAAACTTCCGGTACAGCTTCCTTGCCCAGTACGATCTGTACAACCTGAATACGAAAACGTTGACTGCTCTGACTATTGAAGATGTGCAGCAGTACTTGAGTATGGTCCAATGGTCGCCGGTGGGAAATGCCCTGGTGATCAACTTTAATCGGAATCTTTACTATAAGACGGGTGCTTTGGAGCAGGAGATCGCTCTCACCAGTGACGATAACGAAAAAGTACTTAATGGCATTCCCGATTGGGTGTACGAGGAGGAGGTGTTCAGCTCCAATGTGGCCACCTGGTTCAATCCCTCGGGCAAGCAACTGGCCTTCATCAAGTTTGACGACTCGTCCACGCATCTGATCAATTTCCCCTACTACGGTGATGCTGGAGATCTGCGCTATCAGTATCCGCTGCACCAGGTGATTCCCTACCCCAAAGCCGGATCCTCCAATCCGCGGGTGGAACTAGTGATGGTTGATCTGGAAAGTGCTGTGGAAGGTAAACATTTCTTGACCACGATGCCTGTGCCACCGGCTCTCAATACGGAAACGGACTATATCGTCACCGTGGTCAGTTGGGTGGACGACACCAACGTACTGTCCATCTGGATGAACCGCATCCAGAATGCCGCCTATGTCGTTACCTTCGACGGACTTAACAGAAAAGTGGTAAGTTATTTAGTTTTCTATTGAAATTAAAAATCAACAAGTTTTCAGTCGTAATATTATCATCTTATAATATTGTTTATCTATAGATATATAGCACCGAATCGAAGACCGGTTGGGTGGACCTCTATACCGCTCCGTTCCGTAATCGCAATGGTTCTCGTCTGGCCTTCGTTCTGCCGTACAACAACTACAAGCACGTCCAGCTCATCAGTTCCACGGTGGCCAGCGCCGAGCCCCAAACTCCTGAGCCCCTGACCGAAGGCAAGTACGTGGTGGACAGCATCCTTCACTGGGACGGAACCAACGACATCATCTTCTACACGGCCAACACGGAGGATCATCCGGAGCAGCTGCATCTGTACGCCATTCGGGCGCTGCCCAAGCAGAGTCCCAAGTGCCTCACTTGTAATTTGATCAAGTCAGGGGATATCCAGCAGACCTACTTCTCGGCCACATTCAACGACAATAGCCACATTGTGATAACCTCTCAGGGACCTGGCATTCCCACTACCCATATCTACGAGTGGAAATTCGAAAACTGTAAGTTTTGAAACAGAGACCGTGATATGATAGCTTGTGGTGAAAAAGGAATTTCAATTTGATGACTTGAAGATTCGATGATTTGAAGATTCGATGGTTTTATGATTGGCTGGCTCAATAATTTGATTTGGTGATTTGATGAATGATGATTTGATAATTTGATGATTTGATGATTTGTTTATTTTATGATTTGAAGATTCGGTGATTTGAAGATTCGATGTTTTGATGATTGGAGACTGAATAATTTGATTTGATGATTTAATTTGTTCATTATTTGTCTTTTGTAAGATTTGTTTTGAAGATTAAATTTTTTGATGATTCGACGATTCTATGATTCAATAATTCAATAATTTGGTGATTTAATGATTAATGATGATTCTTATAATTAAAACTTATATTTTGGTGCTTTATGTTGTTTTGTTTATTTTTTAGCTCAAGTTGTCATCTCGCATGTCCTCGACTGGGAAACCAATGAAAGCCTGCGTGCCAAACTGAAGGGCACAAAACTGCCTTCCCATAAGATCCTTACGGTGAACATTGATGGTGGCTTCCAGGCGAAGGTACTGCTCCAGCTGCCTCCCAATTTGGACACCAGTGGTGCAACCAAGTATCCCATGCTTGTGGATGTCTACGGAGGACCAGATTCCTATTCTGTGAGTTAGATTTACGCTGAGATATATTATTATGGATGAAATATATATTCATTTTTATAATTTTTAGGTTACCAACAAATGGATGGTGGACTGGGGAACATATTTGACCTCAAATCAGTCTGTGATCTATGCTAAGATCGATGGTCGTGGCTCTGGACTCCGAGGCGAGAGTCTCCTTCATTCCATCTACCTAAAGCTGGGTACTGTGGAGATCAGCGATCAGATCAACGTTACTCAGTAAGTGTATTTCTATTTTGTAAGCTTTGAAAAACCGACCAACTGTAACTATCTTTCCATTTAGAAACCTTGCCAAAACCCTCAACTACATTGATGCGGAGCACATTGGCATTTGGGGCTGGTCATATGGTGGTTATGCAGCTGCAATGGCTCTGGCCAATGACCAGAATGAAGTGTTCAAGTGTGCAGCCTCGATAGCTCCAGTCACGGATTGGGCATACTACGGTGGGATAGCATAGCCTCTTATCTTTTGATCCCACATACTAAATATTTTTTCCCCACAGACTCCATCTACACAGAGCGCTATATGGGTCTTCCAAATACAAATGAAGTGGGCTATGATAACTCCCGACTGAGCACAATGGCAGTTAAGCTAAGGGGCAAGAAATACTTATTGGTCCATGGAACCTCGGATGATAATGTGCACTACCAGCAGGCCATGATCTTGGCCAAAAATCTGGAACGCCAAGACATCCTCTTCAAGCAGATCGTAAGTAGTTATCCTATATCCACTTTGTATATATTTCTTATAAAAAATACTCTCTTAGAGCTACGCTGATGAGGATCACGGTCTGACCAATGTGCGTCCGCATTTGTACCATTCGTTGGATCGCTTCTTTGGCGAATGCTTTGCCAGCAGTCGCCTCATGAAAAGTGCCAAATAAATACGGCAATAACTGAAACACAAACATTGCTAAAAACACAGACATTATAGACATAATAGTTGTAATTGCCTGATTATATCAAGTAATGATTAGCTGTGTTTTGAGACAATTTTTCAGCTGCTACTAGATAAAGAGTAAAACAAAAATTGGTACTTAAAAAGTAAATAATTGCAAATTTAAAAAAAAACCTTTAAACAAACTAGTTAATCAGACAATTCAAATTGACATAAAGTTAAAAATGCTTAAACAAAAAGATTAAAAAAAACTATAAGCCAACATAATGCAGGTCCAAAACTGTTATAAGATAACTTGGAACAATAATCTTTTCAAATTGCATTTTAAGACATTTTAAACTTAATGAGAAAAAGGTAAAATTAAACAACAAATTATTTAAAATAGCTGCAATTGAGGGAAAAGCATTGTTTAGCTAGTGCCTGATTATATTGCTAATATAAAACTTATTGTAGATATTGCAATTCAATTACAAATTGTGTATTCCAACACTTGCAAGCGCTCCAATTTAAGCTTACTAAACCTAGATCGGGCATTTTAATTGGTAACAAGCATCCTGTAAATTAAATACAAAGAAAAACTTATGGTAGTGTGTAATTTTTTGTAGCTTTTTAGTTTGCTACTTGTAAAAAAGTAAACAAAAAATTGTAAATATTAAAAAAAACGATAGTTGTTAACTGGCTTTTTGTATATTAGAAGACAACATTGTGTATAGGCAACCGTTACAAAGGCAAAAAACAATAAATAATTAAAATAATAAATATCACTTAATTTGTTTTCCTATGATCAGATATCGAATGGATCTTTACCCGACTTGTTCCACAAAAAGATTTCAGAAGAGTACCAATTTTCCTCATGTATTAATTACGCCTATATATATGCAACACTTTTTGTCGCGGGCAAGGCGATTAGAGTTTAGTACCTTATATTTAACAATCTTTCCCAGAAAAATAACGAAGTTTAAATGGTTTTTCAGTACACAAACCGGCTCCCTTTATTGCCTTGGCCCCAAATTCTGGGTTACATGAATATGTTCTTCTTTTCCGTAATCCTAAGGGCCACTCTGCTTAAACACTTTTCAAACTATCATAATTGAATTAGTTCTTACATCCGTATTATGTGCCAAATTTGTTTTTCTAAATTGAAGTCAATATATCTTACAATTGATTACGATTTCTTACGTTGTTTGTTTTGATCTTCAACTGACAATAACTAATTGATTAGATCGTCAACGGTTATTTAATATGTGCAGTTATTCCTCAACTAGCAAATATTTAGTAGCGTTATTTGTATAGTACAAAAATAATCTTTATTAGCCGCTAGTTAATTGAATTTATTCTTCAATATTTTTATTTGACGATGAATACTTTCAATGGAAAATATTTGTCTACTTGTCTGAAAACTATATACAAACTGAAACAAGGTCTTCTAAAAAGTCTCTGTTTCTAGGGTTATTAATAGTGGTTGTATATATGTACACGATCTGTATTGGTTTTTCTCAAAATGTGTGCAATTAAAGAAGAGGATTAGTTATAGAAATTTAAGAAGGGAATAACCTAAAGATATTGCTGAATTTTTTGAAAAAATTACCAAATTAAAGCTGTGTCAAATTCGATTTTCTGTTTGCACACATTTTGGGTGTCCCAAATTGGTTTATAGAATGGCTAAAACTTATTTGGCTACTGCTTACAACTAATCTCTCTTACTGGAGATACACCTCTTGGACAACGTCGTGATGCTGCTGCTGCTGGGGATCGTGTAGGTCCTCCTGCAATTGCAACTGATGATGCTGCTCCTCAATCGTCCCGCCATCATCGTACTCGATCAACTGATCATCCTCCGCCTGCTGGTGATGATCTATGATTATGTGCTCTTGATCCAGCTGATGGTGATCCACCAACTGGTGATCCTGGTGATACTCATGTTGCTGCTGCTGCTGTTGGCTGTGGTGATGATGTGCCTGATGGGTGAAGACCAGTGGCGGCGGCGACGTTGACGTTCCCATGTGCTCATGGATCGCCGATGTGCCGCTGGATGTCGATGCTGTGGTGGCTGTGTTTGTGCTCTGGTGATAGGTGGTGGACTGCTGATTTCTAACAATATGACCGGCGGCTGTGACACTGGTCACGCTGGCGCGCTGATTTGTGCGCGTCAGGGTGACGGTCACCTCGGAGCCCAGTCCGGCAAACGAGACAGCTGGTGTGGATGGTGGCGAGGATGATGTAGCTCCTGCTCCTCCTCCTCCCCCAGTGGCTGCTGCTGCTGCCGAGGCTCTGGCCTGGAGTATCTTACGGGTGGGCAATTGGGACGTACTCTGGGTGGATGCGGTTGCTGTTGCTCCCGTACCAGCTCCCGACTGTGGCACGTAGTTAATGAGCAGGACACGCTCGCCGCTGGTTGTCTGCGCCGCATGACCGCGCAGGATACGACGCTGGAGTGTAGACGTGGCTCCTGTTCCAGTCGCAGTCGATGATGTTGACGTTCCTGGCGTGTTGCTCCTGCTGTTGCTGCTGCTGCTGCTCAATGTTGCTGCTGTCGTGCCACCATTGTTGCTGCTGGTGTTATGTTGCTGCTGCTGATGCTGCTGCTGTTGCCCGCTCCCGCCTCCTCCTCCTCCAGGGCCGCTGGACATATCGTTGGCTCATCATTACGTATTATTACCGCCTTTCAAAATGAAAACCTTCTTTACCAAAATGTTCTTGTTGTTGCCCTTATGGTTTCAATGATTTTGTTGTGGGATGCATGAACGTTTAGTTTTTACACACAAATGTAGTGAGTTTTATTGATTAGATGGTGTTTAATTTTTGTAAACGTGGCAGCGAGAAAGAGAGAAGACAAGATAAAAACGATTTGTTAATGGATCTGGTCAAGTGCTACAAAGTATTGTAAAATGCTGTGGAAAAATGCGTGTAGTGTGGTTGAGTTTTTTGCAGTGCCAAGTGCAATTAGTCACAATATGATTTTGTTTGAATTGTCTGTCTTTATAACAAGTTACTTTCGTTATTTTTGAGTCAACAGTCTGGCGTAAAAATATCAAAACTAATATTATACAAAAAATAAACTAAACATGCAATCAAAGTAACTATAATGGTAAGTAAAGCATTACAAACTACAAAATACATAATCAAGGAAACCATCACCAAAAAAACGTTTAACATAAAATAAAATACTGAGGGAAATGTGTTTAAAAAGGTTTTTGTTTTATTTTACTTGTTTTTTTTTTTGTTTTAAATCAATTTAGATTTTAATTAAGTATGTAAAGAGACTAACAATAACTTGACCACTTCAGGTAGATGATATATCCCAGGGCGTTTAAATTTATACAATTAAATCATAATTTTCAGGGATATTTTTCATCTTTCTAAAATAGTACAATAGGGTCTATTTTGAAAAATTTTCAACTATTAAAATTAAGAAATATACATACAAAACTGTGTTGATTTATACTTATAGCGCATAGTTCTTAAATAAAAAAGATTGCAAATAAATCAGAAAGATTGATTGATTAATTGAGTGGTTGTTGGTGGGCAGACACAGATTTGGGGTTTTCCGAAACCCTCTTGAGCGAACTCTCCATTGATCAGATCAACTAGTTTTGAGCTGCTTAAGTAGATCTTTGTAAGTCAAGAATTTTTAATCTATCTAAGTGTATTTATATTTAACTACATTGGTTCTAAGGCAAGGTGCAATCGTTCAAGGCCGAAAGCTGGCCATGAGCAAGAGAACCTTCATCGATTGCAAGATTTTCACTGTTCTGGAGGACTTCAATTTGACTAGAGAACCTCTAGCATTGGGACATTGGTAAAAACTATACAAAATGGATAGTTGTGTAAAAGAAATAAGGTATGCACGTAATTTCCAATAACCATAGCGCACTTAAACGTAAAACTAGCAACAAAACTAAATTATAGGGGCAAATCAACATTAAAAGTCGTAAAAATTGTACAACAAAATAGTAAACAACTAAATGTGCCCTTGCGGCTTTTACAATTAATTTAGAAATTGTCTACGCATTCTGCGAGAAGAATATTTAAAGCGTTTAGCAAAAACCAAAACTAATAGCTATATAGAATAGTACATAGTGGATCTAGTACGTCTTCGGTCCGATCAGAGCGTCTGTTGTGGTTGTGTTTGCTGTTGCTGCTGCTGTTGTTGTTGCTGCTGCTGCTGTTGTTGCTGCTGCTGCTGCTGTTGTTGTTGCTGGAAGTCAGTCATATTCACCTGATTTAAGTTGCCTATGATCTGATGGCCCTGCAGCGTCTGCACCTGGGCAATCGAAAGCGGTGCTCCACTCTCGCTGCCATCGGCGGATTGAGCCACCAGTTGTTGCTGCTGACTGGCCGCCTGTTGCTGAGCGGCAGCCGCCGCCTGAGCGCTCGTCGTTGCCGTTGTTATGTTGCCCGAGGAGTCAATGATTTGGTGATGTTGCAGCTGCTGCTGCTGCTGCTGGACTTGTTGTTGCACTTGCTGCACCTGCTGTTGTTGCACTTGTCCGCCCGCCGAACCACTCACTGCCATTGCCTGCTGCTGCTGTTGTTGTTGCTGCTGCTGCTGGGCATCGGGATCCTTTTTGACCTGCACGCCCTGCAGCGTGTGCAAGGATTGCACCGTCTGCACCTGTGGCACACTGCCGCTGGAGCTCAGTGCTCCTCCCGATCCCGAAGCGCTGGATCCGCTACTAGACTTTTTGCCACTGGTTGCTGCAAGGAAGGAATAAGGTGCTGGTGAGAGGACTGCCGCTGCGATAGGCCAAACTACACAGGGGATAGTAAGAGTAATACAGAGCGAGAGGACGACACTACAGCAACATCGCTGGCCCAACAAAGAAACAACGCGACCTTCTAGGACTACGGCCAGAAAAAGAATGTGATAATGTATGGTTGTGTAAATGGAAATGTGCTACGAAAAAAAATACAAAGTTTAGAACACAAGACCAAAACAATTGTTAGTATCAGTTTAGATCAAATATAAACAAATAAAAACCAAATAGTTAATACATTTCATTAAAGAAGGCTAATAAACCGTGGTCAAAAATTAAAAAAAATAAAAACAAACCAGAAGTCCTGGTTTGTTCTGACTTACAAATAAATTTTACATAAAACAAAGTACTAACAAAGAAAACGAAATTTTTAAACACGACTATTCAGCCAGGTTGTCAATTCTACATCCGCAAGATTTGTTCCAATCATTGAAAGTTTCAAACAACTCTTTTGCAGGGAAATTCAGAGCAGTATTAAACAGGCACTGTGAGTTAGTAGCTTAGGAAGTCCACGAACGAACAACAGTATTTTCTTGCAACTTAGAGAAACGATAATAACAAACAGCCAATTGCAATAAATTAAAGTCCGTGCCACATGGCAGAGATTAATTTCGTTTTTGTTATATAAAAAAATATATAATATTTTATTAATTAAACAATTTGTAATATAATATTTAAAATAGAGAAACTTAAACCGATTGCGATCCTCGATTCTAATTGTACATTTAATTTTTACAACAGTTATTTGCGACACTAATTAGATTATTTAAGTAAATTAGTCGAGTATTCATTTACGTGGAGACATGCGAAATTCTCTTCTTTTGTTTTATTTTCTCTGTAGTACAATATGCAAGAAAATACTGCATAAGAAAATGTGTGTTAAATGTTAAAAGCGCAATTTGAAA